ACCGCTAAATCCCCCTCAATCCCATGCCTCCGTATTTTCTGCAATAGCCTACCATGCGGAACCTTATCAAACGCTTTACTGAAATCCATATACACCACATCAACCGCTTTACCCTCATCCACCTGTTTGGTCACCTTCTCAAAGAACTCAATAAGGTTTGTGAGGCACAACCTACCCTTCACAAAACCGTGTTGACTATCCCTAATCAAATTATTCCTTTCTAGATGATTATAAATCCTATCTCTTATAATCCTTTCCAACACTTTACCCACAACCGAAGTAAGGCTCACTGGTCTATAATTACCAGGGTTGTCTCTACTCCCCTTCTTGAACAAGGGGACAACATTTGCTAGTCTCCAGTCTTCTGGCACTATTCCTGAAGACAATGTCGACATAAAGATCAAAGCCAAAGGCTCTGCAATCTCCTCTCTAGCTTCCCAGAGAATCCTAGGATAAATCCCATCCGGCCCAGGGGACTTATCTATTTTCACACCTTCCAGAATTGCTAACACCTCCTCCTTATGAACCTCAATCCCGTCTAGTCTAATAGACTGTATCTCAGTATTCTCCTCGACTACATTGTCTTTTTCCTGTGTGAATACTGATGAAAAATATTCATTTAGCGCCTCTCCTATCTCTTCGGACTCCACGCACAACTTCCCACTACTGTCCTTGACTGGCCCTAATCTTACTCTCGTCATTCTTTTATTCTTGACATACCTATAGAAAGCTTTAGGGTTTTCCTTGATCCTACCTGCTAAAGACTTCTCATGTCCCCTCCTGGCTCTTCTTAGCTCTGTCTTTAGGTCCTTCCTGGTTAACTTGTAACTCTCAAGCGCCCTAACTGAGCCTTCACGCCTCATCTCTACATAAGCCTCCTTCTTCCTCTTGACAAGAGATTCAACTTCTTTAGTAAACCACGGTTCCCTCGCTCGACCACATCCTCCCTGCCTGACAGGTACATATTTCTCAAGGACACGCAGTAGCTGTTCCTTGAACAAGCTCCACATTTCAATTGTGCCCAGCCCCTGCAGTTTCCTTCTCCATCCTATGCATCCTAAATCTTGCCTCATCGCCTCATAATTGCCTTTCCCCCAGCTATAACTCTTGCCCTGTGGTATATACCGATCCCTTTCCATCGCTAAAGTAAACGTAACCGAATTGTGGTCACTATCACCAAAGTGCTCACCTACCTCCAAATCTAACACCTGCCCTGGTTCATTACCCAGTACCAAATCCAATGTGGCCTCGCCTCTTGTTGGCCTATCTACATACAGTGTCAGGAAACCCTCCTGCACACATTGGACAAAAACTGACCCATCTGAAGTACTCGAACTATAGCGTTTCCAGTCAATATTTGGAAAGTTAAAGTCCCCCATAACAACTACCCTGTTACTTTCGCTCCTATCCAGAATCATCTTTGCAATCTTTTTCTCTACATCTCTGGAACTTTTCGGAGGCCTATAGAAAACTCCCAACAGGGTGACCTCTCCTTTCCTGTTTCTAACCTCAGCCCATACTACCTCAGTAGACGAGTTGTCATCAAACGTCCTTTCTGCCACCGTAATACTGTCCTTGACTAACAATGCCATACCTCCCCCTCTTTAACCACCTTCCCTGATCTTACTGAAACATCTAAACCCCGGAACCTGCAACAACCATTCCTGTCCCTGCTCTATCCATGTCTCCGAAATGGCCACAACATCGAAGTCCCAGGTACCAACCCATGCTGCAAGTTCACCCACCTTATTCCGGATGCTCCTGGCATTGAAGTAGACACACTTCAAACCACCTTCCTGCCTGCCGGTACACTCCTGCGACCTTGAAACCTTATTTATGACCTCACTACTCTCAACCTCCTGTACACTGGAGCTACAATTCAGGTTCCCATCCCCCTGTTGAATTAGTTTAAACCCTCCCGAAGAGCATTAGCAAATTTCCCCCCCAGGATATTGGTACCCCTCTGGTTCAGGTGTAGACCATCCCGTTTGTAGAGGTCCCACCTACCCCAGAATGAGCCCCAATTATCCAGGTATCTGAATCCCTCCCTCCTGCACCATCCCTGTAGCCACGTGTTCAACTGCTCTCTCTCCCTATTCCTCGCCTCGCTAGCACGTGGCACGGGTAACAAACCAGAGGTAACAACTCTGTTTGTTCTAGCTCTAAGCTTCCACCCTAGGTCCTTGAATTTCTGCCTTACGTCCCCATCCCTTTTCCTACCTATGTCGTTGGTGCCTATGTGGACCACGACTTGGGGCTGCTCCCCCTCCCCCTTAAGGATCCCGAAAACACGATCCGAGACATCACAGACCCTGGCACCTGGGAGGCAACACACCAACCGCGAGTCTCTCTCGTTCCCACAGAATCTCCTATCTGTCCCCCTAACTATGGAGTCCCCAATGACCAATGACAGATAGGATATTAGTCATCCTGTTTACAAAAACAGACACACACTGCATAGTTGTGGTCATTTTGTGCATTGCCTGGATTATGAGCTTGCTTGAAATTGTATGGCAGCTGGTGGCAGCCTCTCTCCTCTCTTTCTCTCTTGCTCTCTCTCGCTCTCTCTCTCACAAATGTAATTGCAGTTACCTTCAAACCCCTTCTACTGGTTGTACTCCAGGGAAGTCACAAAGATTATTTCTGGGATGCCAAGGTCAACACAGCTGGAGTCGTTTCCTGTGTTGAAACATATCAAATCTCCTGCTGTCCATAGGGAATGTGTTCTCCTTAAAAACCACCACTGGCTGACGGCTAATGAAGGCCACCCATTGACAAGACTTCAAAAGAAACCCATGTAGTCATCTGAAATCTGGTATTCCCCACTGAAAGAAACTCAGCACTCTGCAATCTCATCACAGCTCCGTCAACCCAACCCAATAGCACACATCCTGATTGAGCGCAGTTATTAACCTCCTCAATCTAGCAACTGACAAGAATGGTAAAATTCCAGGTTTTTAACTTCCAGGGAAACTATGGGCAACCACTTACTGTTTGAGGATGGGCCAGGGAAGGCATAGTCACGTACTGCACAAATGGAACATGAGGCACAGCTCAAATTGTGACTGTGGCCTTCCAAGTCAGACTATTGCCTATATATTGACCTTCAACCCAGAGTGATCCATTCCTAGTGGCATCACATCTATGCATGGTAATCTTCACATCAAACTATAACTGCTTCCCCAGCCACATGAATAAGACTAATAAAATGTTGTTTCGGGTCGGGACCCTTCTTCAGAAACATCAACTTTCCTGCTCCTCTGATGCTGCCTGACCTGCTGCATTCCTGCAGCTCCACACTGTGTTATCTCTGACTCCAGCATCGGCAGTTCTTACTATCTCTGATAAAATGTTGTACCTCTATTATTCCTTTTCACAATGATAGCCCCCAGAGTTCAGCATCTCAGTTCTGTTTAATGGACTTTGGGGAAGATTCAGTCCTGTAATGTAAACTTTCCACAGCTCCTCCTGTTGCCAAGGTCTCCTCGCCCTCCCTTATAAATTGTAAACTGTCAGGTGAAAATCCAACTCCGCATCTATCTGAGCCCACTGGACTGCAGTACTTCCTATCCTGTGATTGAGTGCCCTCTGAGGAATTCTCCTTATACAACACCACTGATCTTTGTTCATGAAGACCCTGGAAGCCAACAGGAAGGAATACGATTAGTCATGTAAAGTCACAATTTGACAATCACCTTGGCCTTCTCTTAATTCATTCATTCAAAGAAATCGTATTCCCATGTGTATAGAAAATCTTAATTCACTCATCTGAAACAGCAAGCCCCCGTTTTACTGTCTCAAATTGGGAGGGGTACAGATGCCATTATGCACAATGGTGAATGATACGGATTGTGGTTCTTGATATGTCAGTCCAAACCAAATGCTGTTCAGTTGAAGGAAAGTTAGGCAGTGCAAAGTCACTGAACAAAAAAAATCAAGGAACCTTTTTTCCCTTCGAAAGTCTGCTGTGCTGTTGGTCCCACCTGTACAAGAAAATACCAACTATCCATCTCTAAAAGCCATCACTGCTTCCAAATCTGACTTCGAGTATTATCCTCTTTGCTTCACCATCATGGAACTCAAGCAATGGGTCCAAATAATATACCAAAAAGATTTATTGGGACCTCATTCTTAATAGTTTTGTTTTGTCTTTATATCTTTTGTCTGGAATTCCTCATTAACAACTCATCTCTTCATTACTAAGGAACCTATAGCAATACTATAACTTATACAAACATTTAACCATTTAAACAAAAGCTTGGGGGCTGCATGAGCGATTTCAGTTGAAAGTTCACTGAACCTCCAGTTTTATCTGAGCAGCAACCTCTTCAATGCCTTTGTTTCTAAAAGACTCTGAGGGGTAATGAGAAAGATACAGTTTACACAATGAGATAAAATCTAGAAAGTATTGCTTGAAGGTTGTTGGAAGCAGATTCAACACTGGATTTCAAAGGGATTGGAAATATACTCAAGAAGGAGAAATTTGCAGAACTGAGGGTAAAGAGGTGACTGCAAATAAGATGAGAAAAATAGACTTTTTCTGTATGGTATTCCCAATGCCAAGAAGCGACAAGGACCTCCACTGGTGCAATTCACTTATCACAATGTAGTGTATGCAATATCATTCTGTCTTTTTACCTAACTACATGTTCATATTGTGCTCACTAGGTGGAACCATACACCTTTAGCCACCTTGGTGAATAGGAACTCTGATAATTGCATTGTATTTTTCAAACATAACTCACCAAATAAAGACTTGAAGCAGAGCATGAAGCAGGGGTGTGAGGAGAGAATAGCTCAATGAGATCAGTTCCAGATCACTCAATTGGTACAAGCATGACAGTTGAGAGTGACAATTGTTAGCAAGTGATAAAGTTTTATCTTTACTGTTGAATAAATAAACTGCAGCTGGCTTACTTTCCACAGCCAAAATTAAAATGCTGTTTTGACACAATGTTCAGACCCAGTTACTCAGGAATAACACATCCCAAACAAATGTGTGCCTGAAAAATGTGTTTTAATGCAGAGAGGTTTGTGCTGAATGGCTACAACAATGAAGTGTTTTGAATGAATCTGTTACATTAGCATTAATATAATTTGACAGAATTAGTACATTAGTTTTATATGAATGCTTTCTGAAAAAGCAACACTTTCCTGCAGAGGATGACTATACAACAGCATTGAGAGCATTACATGTTACATAGGCTGGAGTGTGATATAGGAGAGTAGGATGTCAATGAGGCCTCAAATAATTTGCCACAAGACGTTCAAAAACGTGAATCGCATCCCAGACCGCATTATTCTACCTAAAACACACAGAATTTGAAGGTCAGGTCTCAGGAGGATAATTATTCTTTTCACTTCATATAGTGTTAGGCAGTGTAAGATGGCAGGTTCCTGTGACTGAATCATCAGGATCTCCTCAAACCCCACCTGAATTACATTCCCTTTAGAGCTCGATTCAAATCACTTTACAGCAAAGCAACATACCTGCTCACATTGCAGCGATTTTTGCAAGAGACACTTTACAGGGAAGCAACTTGCTTCCATCACTTTTCCAGGTAGCGTATGTTCGATCATCACAACTTACTGTGTGTTTGAAAAAAACTTAATGTTACTTAATCTTTTTCTGAAGAAGGGTCTAGGCCCGAAACATCAGTCTTCCTGCTCCTCTGATGCTGCTTGGCCTGCTGTGTTCATCCAGCTCTACACCTTGTTATCTCTTAATCTTACCCTTCACGTTTCTCCAATTTTCATAAATCAGAGTCCTCAGGTTTCAACAACGCAAGCTGTAAGAACAACCCCTCATTTTCTGCTGGGGGACCCTGCAGCCCTCTGGACTCAATATCGAGTTCAATAATTTTAGGGCCTAAACTCTCCCATGTCCCAGCCCCCTACCCCACACACCAGGCCTTGTTAACACATAGCCTGCATTACACACTACCTGTTATTAGTCACTAATAGTCCCCATTAACAACTATTCACCCTCCCAAACTGATTGTTGTCAACTCTTTGTCTGTCCAACTGCTCTTCCCTCTCTTTAAGTTCTATCCTATCGTTTACTCCCTACTCCATCCCCCTCCGCTATTTTCTGCATATAAACTGACTTTTTCCCAGCCACCATCAGTTCTGAGGCAGGGTCACCGGACCCGAAACGTTAACTCTGGTTTTCTTCTTCACAGATGCTGCCAGACCTGTTGAGCTTTTCAGCAACTTCGTTTTTGTTCCTGACTTACAGCATCCGCAGTTCTTTCGGTTTTCCTCAGGTTTCAAAACTGGCTGCCAGTGCAAACAGTTCATCCTTAATTGCCTCTATCAAAATCCCTTTGAATGTTCAACACCTTTATTAATCTTTTTGTTTTGTTCAGAGAAGAACTATACCAGCTCTGCCTGTCCACATAGTGTAGATACATTATCCTTGGAAACAGTTTAGTAAAGCTTTTCTGTGAGGCTTCTCCAACACCTTACCATTCTTCCTAAGTTGTAATGCCCAGAATTAAACACAATGCTCTATTTGGTATATTAATGATTTATAAAGATTTAGGACAACTTGCTTGCTTTGTGTTCTGTGCCTCTAAGTCGGGATGGGTCGGGCTAATTTTCCTACAAATAGCTACATAAATGGACCTGCCATTTTTTAAAAAAAATTGATAAAGTGTGTGAACTCTCCTTTGTTTCTGTACCCTCTTTAAAATGGTGCCATTTAGTTTTGGGTGGGCATTGGCCTATAGTACAGCCATGAATTTAAGCAGCAACTTTAATGCCCAAGGCATCAAAAAATAGCTCATCAAATGTGAAGTATTTTCAGAAGTGCAGTTGTTATGACAGCAGATACATTAATAATTTGTGCACAGCAAGGTCCTGGAGCAACAAATTGTGTAAGGGACAAGCCAACTCTGTAACTGCTGTTGATTTAAGGAACAATTGTTGACTAGAACACTATGAGAGCTCCTGTAGTTTTGCATCCAACAGATGATCCTTTGATTTAGCATCTCATACAAAAGACAGAACTTTTGACAACATAGTATTCCAAAAAGACAAGGAGCTGGATGCCAGTTGGTAAAATCTATTAAATCTCAACGTTATAGATTTTCTTGTTTTGTCAAGCAGTAACTAGTTTTGTTGAATATCTGAGTGACTCTTAGATTCCTACACTGTTTGATATTCTTATATAATTTGGTGTTCAATTAATTTGGCTTTCAAATTCCTCTGAAAATAGGATCTGGTCTCATCTTCCATTAAATCCTTCTTTTACATCTCTCCAAGGTTTCAGAGCACTATGCAATTGCAGCTTTGATCAACAGTCTGGAGACAGTCTGAGAGATTAAGCCAATCTGTTCACATCCTCCAAAGGCACCATGGCTAAGACTAACCACCCCCACCTCCCACGTCTGTAAAATTACTAAACTTCTCAATTCATCTGTTGTAAAAACCCTCTTCCATACTTTGTCACATCTGGATTCAACTACTCTGATGCATTCCTAGTTGGTATTCCATATTCTACACTCTGTAATTTGAGATCACCCAATATACAATTGCCCATGTCTTGATTTATGGCAAGCCCTGCCCCTCCATCACCCCTGTGCTTGCTAACCTATATTTGTTGACAGTCAAGAAGCATTTTGAATTAAAAATTCTTGTCTTTGTTTTCAAAGTTCTCCACAGTCTTACTCCTCATTATCTCTGTAATCTCTTGCAACCCTCAGATACCTGTGCTCCACTAATTCTGATTTCTTGTGCATTCCCAATAATAATTTGTCTAGTTGGTGGCTGCACCTTCAGTTGCCTGGATCCGAAGCTGTGGAATTCCTTCCCTACATCTCTCTGCTGCTTTGCGTTCCTTCTTTCAGGCAATTACATTGGTCATCTGACCTGATATTTCCTTATATCATACTTTATCTTGAATTCATCCTGTGAAAAGTTTCGGGATAATTTATTCCATTAAAGATGTTATTTATGAACGTAGAATTTTGGAGCAGAAATAAATGATTTGCCCTCTCAGACCTGGTCTCCCATTCAATAAGATCATGGCTAATCTGTTTATATTCTGAATTCCACAGTCCTATCTTTCCCTTGATAATCTTTGATGCCGTGCCTTACTAGAATCTATTTACTTCAACCTTAAAAAAACGCTCAGTGACCCCACTTCCATGGCTTCTGAGGCACAACCCTCAGAGAGAAAAAAAGTTCCTCCTTATCTTGGAACTAAAATGGCATCCTGCAATTTTAAAATGGAGCCCCTAGTTCTAGAGTCACCCATATTATTTCCATGTCTATCTTGTCAAAACCGTCCATTATTTTATAGGCTTCAATCAAGTCACCCTTGCACTTCGAAACTCCAATGGAAACAAGCCCAGTCTGTCCAACTTATCATCATAAGACAATCCACTTATCCCATGTATCAATCCAATAAGCCTCCTCTGAACTGTCTCCAATGCATTTAAGTCTTTCTTTAAATAAGGAGAGCAAAGCTACGCTTTATATTCACAATGTGGTCTGACCAATGCCCTTTATAGATATAAGCTGGTGTTGTTGATATGCTCCATGTTTCCAATTCTGATTGGAAAGATTCCAAACTTGTAATCATGTAGGTACAGTCAAAATTAAATTGTATTTTTCCAACAATGATTCATTTTGCACTCAAGAGAAAAATAATTCACCTAATCTAGAGTTTTCAGGCAGCCCCAGTTCAGTGGTGACTGTGGTTTACCATCATAATCTATATGTGGTTTTTAACAACTGCTTTTTAATGTACTGTTAATAAGTGAAAGAAAGAGAGGCACAAATGGGATTTGTTAAAAACATCGAAGCTAAATACAGCTTCCCTCTGTTTTTGTCCTCCTAAAATGATTTGAAATAAAATGGCTTGTTAAACAAAAATGTGCTTAACAAAAATCACTTTCCAAATAAAAAAAAATGTGATCAGGTCAGGTTATATTCCCAATGTGTAGCTTTTACAGTAAAAATGTATTGGTTGCCTTGATCCTAATTCATCCAAAATCATTTTTCTGCTCATTGATACTTCATAACTTGATGTAACTTACTAAATCTTTCTACTTCCCTTTTTACCTTCTGCTAACCACATACCTCCCTCAACCATTGCACTCACCACCACTTTCTCTGATCCTCCTACTCACCACTTAACTCCCCGTCCCTACTGCTCACTACTTCAACCCCCCTGACACTCCGGCTCACCACTTCACTCTGACCCACACGCTTGCCACTTCACTTCCATCTGATTCTCCCAAATACCATATTGTTCCCTCAACCTTCCCACTTGCCACTTTCGTCCCACGAACCTCATGGACATTGTTTTCCTCATCTGACCCTCCCATTCACCACCTCTCCTCTGCGTCCCACTAATCATTTTCTTTCACCTGCCTAGTCCTTCCATCTCTCACTCGCCACCCCTCTCAGTTACTCCCTTACTATTGCTTCCCCTCTTCCAAAGCCTCACTCACAGTGAGGACTCAGAAGAGGTGCAACAAGCTAGATGGGCATGAAAGGATTGGGAGAGGAAAGTGGGAGCAAGGTAAGAAGTGAAAGCAGCAGGAGCGGGAACAGGTGATCAGTATTTAAAAAAGACTGAGCGTGGTCAGTAACTGTGTTGAAATGAAAATGGAGGCAGCACTATTCAGGGACCTCCCTAATTTATTAAGCAAGCTAAACAGAATATGTGCTAATAGAACACATTTTAAACAGGGAGTGCTTTCACTTCGGGAAAACTCTATTTGAGTTGAATCTGACCATGAAAACATTGTAAATTTGTAATGTATAAGTGAATGCCTTATTCAGTAAATAACAGAATGCAAGATTTCAACTTTAGGAAAGGGATATTGAAGTTTCTTTTGATTAAATGAGCATTATAATTCTCCCTCTGTCATCATTTTATTATTGAAATTTTTAAAGAAAATATTGTTAATATCTTTTAATATATTGCTAAATGTTAATCTACATTAAAAGTTGACATGACACTGGAACTAGGTGAGCTGATTCTGAGGAAACAGAGAAGTGAGAGTTGAAATCACAGAGGCACAGGCTGTAGTTTTTTAGTCTACTTTAGAATCAAGGTGGTGCCAGAAAACTGAAGACTTCCAAATGTTATGCCCTTGTTCAAAAAATGTATATAATGATAAACCAAATAACTATAGGCCACTCAGTTAATTTTAGCTAGAAACAGTAATTCAGGACAAAATTAGGAGTCACTTCGACAAATGTGAGTTAATTAAGGAGAAGCAGAATATATTTCTTCAAGAAAACCATATTCAGTGAACCTTCTGGAGTTTTTTCTGAGGAGGTAACAAAG